ATAAGTTGTTAAATATGACCATTTTGAGGGTAAATTGCGTTCTTTTTTTTTCGCACTTTTTCGCACTAACTTTGCCGCCAGCGCACTCTTTGTGGTGAACTCTTTCGATTTTGAAATCTGGTACCAAGTGCTACAAGTTGGCAAAGAATGAAAAAAATCTAAGCGGATGAGATTCAAACTTGTGCGATTTGGCGTGGAATGGCCCATATATATTTGAAGAAACGTGAAATAACGGTTTGAGTAAAATTATTACTGAATAACTACTTTAAACTCACTATGTGCACAGCGTGGGTATATTCTAGAATTAAAGCTTGTTCTATTGGATCGTCCGTATTTTCCGGTTGAATAGCCGCAGTAATGTGCAGGGTATTTTGAGCATTTAATCTTTTCCACAAGCCCAGTATTGAAGTTACTGTTGTATGCCAACGGTTTCTGTAAAATGATAACTTCTGCAATTTTTTCTAACGACAGCAGTAGAGGTAAAAGATGTATCTGCGAATTTGGGACTACCATTATTAAACAAATATTCTTGTTTCTTCTATAGGTTTAGAAACTAAATTTACTGGGATTTTCCAAGAAACAAATGTATAAAACCCTTCACAAACATAGGAAAGAACTTCTACGTGGAACCTATTTTTGTAAAAGAAAATTGGGAAAAATAGTAACTGGTCAATTTCTGTTCCCTCATTGGTTTCAAGTTGTGCATGGCGTAATTTTTGCAGCAAGCTTTTGCTCTGCTTTATTTCCCAAGAAATTGCAACGTTCTCAGGTAGACCAAATAACAATGGGCTATCTTCGTGCTGGAATTGGTTTTCTGTCGCGTTTATGTAGTCCTACAATACTTCTTAAGTAAAAATTCTAATTTTGTAATTTTTATAATTATGACAGTCTTATCAGGCAGTACGGAAATAAAAGAGCGTTCATTGTCCTTGTAACTAGATTACACCATTCCTTCCAGTACTCAACCAACTGACCAAATCACGCTAATTTTTTAGTGTGGATTTTCGGATTATTTGCCAACCTTATGTAACAACTTTTTTTAAAGTTGTGTCAGAAGTCATATTAATACCTGCAACCGTGAAGAAACAGGAATTTTAATTTTATTTTTCAGTTCCATGACTTTTCCGTTGATCACTTTTAAGTTGAAGTTCTCTTTCACGTATGCCATTAAGACATTATTGTCATGTATTTTGTTGATACGATTACCGTAAAAGACCATTTGCATTAAACCATGTATGAATTCCCATGGAATCTGGTTTTCTGCAAAAATTAGCTGGTGCAACAGCTGAGATAACTGGAAAAAAGAAATTTTGGTGGTTTTTGAATGAATTTGATGATAATCAGGCGTCATGTTCTAAAATTAATAGTTTTCTTGTTTTCTTGCCACATTCTTACCCTGCTGAAGATTTGCAGTAACTTCTTCTATGGCCTGTCTTGCTGCTCTAAGATCACTGTCATTAAATTCATAGAATTCCGTCCAAGCCTGAAATTAAAAACTTATTTTCCCCTGTTTTGTAGCTATTAGCTGTCGTTTGACGTTAAAATCACTTTTGTCATAGCAATCAAACGAGGCGCTGGTTTGGCAAGGGAATTTGTAAAATGAAGACCATATATACGCGCCGTCATCCCTAATTTCCATTTCGTGGCAGGACCAGAGTTACCGTAGT